TGATGGATCCAAATAAAGAAAAAAAACTCAATTCATCAATAACTGCATGTTTCAGTTTTTTTATTGTTCAGATCAACAAACTTTATTTAAAAATGTATTTATTTAATAATCTTAATATATTATACTTTATTATCTGGATTTCATGCAGTGTGTGCAAATTAACAATTAAAATCATGTTGGTGATTTAAGAACCTTTCTCTGTTGTTTCTTCTTCCATAAAACAAGAAAATGCAAAACCGCTAAATATAAAGATAAAAAAATAAATGAAATGACTCCATATATGAAGATAAATAGTATAAAGTTACAATGGAAAAATAAACATAACTGTCACAAATAAATAAAAATGGTTGAAAAGTCAGAGGATCAATAAAGTTATTACAATCCATCTAATAGTTCTTGAGATATTTCACTCAAAGTGACAGATATACAGACAAAGATAAATAAGTCTACAACAACTTTAAAATCTTTGTGGTATAACCTTACAGTATGAATGCTCAGGTGTTCCTCCTACCTTCTCACTGTATACCAACACATATTTAGCAGAATATATCATAAACCGATAGTTCTGTTCTAGTATCAGTCGGTATTTAGACTACAATAGCAATTAAAAGCAAATATCTGTATTTACTCAGTCATGACAACTCTGCTACTATTGCAAACTTGAGCAAATAGATAATACATTTAATTCTGTGCTGCACTCGTGATCTCCAAATTCACTCAATCGGTTTATTTTAATGGAGAGTGTTTGTGGCTCAGTGATGTTCAGAAACAAGAGTTCTCTGATTATTCAGAGAGAAAGACTGAAGACTTCAGCTGTCGCTGTGAAGTGTAATCATCCTCAGTAAATCCAGTTTATGAAATTGAAACCGAAATAGTTTTATTGGATTAATACACTGCTGAGTGGGTTCTGGTCCAATAAAACAAAGGCCTGTTGTGTGTACGCTTATTTCCTGTCTGCTGTAGATCTGATTCTCTGCTGCAAACTACTGTTACAGGGTTAAATAAAACCCAGACTTTTTACTCACACCAGTACTTTCAGTTTGTTATCTGCTTCCTCTCTGCTTGGACTTCTGAGGTTGGCCCACTTATGAAACCAAAAGCGAACGTCAGTTACGATCTTTTCCTGAACCTAACCAATCAAAAATAATAATAAATAACTTTAATTCTCAGTCTCCATAAAATATACCTATTATTTGGAATTAACTACACATGCCTCACATGGGACACCATTTGTTGGGTTTTACAATGTCTGTGGTTTATTAATAAGGGAAGGTGAAGGTGCGCATGTCATGTCATGGGTTAGGGTTAGTACTACCCTCACTGGATAACACTGTCGCCTTACAGCAAAGACGGTTCTGGGTCCGGGGCCTTTCTGTGTGGAGTTTAACTAACGTCACCTTAGCAGTGTAGCAGAGATTTGGGATTAAAGCTGTGAACACTGTTAAACTATGTGAAACTATTATGCCAAGTATGATCCGGTGAGTCAGGTTGGGGAAAATTGTTGTTCCAATGTCTAAAAGTCTTTGCAATCCGATTGTGCAGGAAGAGACGGGGTCGCTCCATGCATTGTTTCCATTCAGTGTTAGCAGTTAGCAGCATGGTGCTAACATGTTTTGTCACTCCTTGTCAGCTGGCAGGCACTGTTGCAGCCGTGGACACTAGCTTAAGCTTATTCACACTTGTTAGCTGTGTGCTAACCAGGAATCTCTGGTTAGGCAGGCTCTTGTGCTGCGCTGTAATTTTTTCTTGTTGGTAAAGGCGGGGAAGAAAGAGTGGATGACCTGTAGTTTTTGTTATGGTTGGTCACCGCATCATCACAGGTTCCCAGGTTACAGTTACAGGAAGTGACTTGGGGAGAGGTTGCAGGAAGTAGCCATCATGATAAAAGTTGAATTATACAAAATGAACAAATATATGATATACAATGATATCGATTTGAGTTGCATTTCTGGAGCCACCTTTTGTTCAAATGGAATTTTATGTTAGAAATTCCTACGTTGACTTTGTGCTCAGTTCTCATGGATCTCAGGATCTGATTTAACTTGATGTTTGTTTGTCGCTGGAAAATACCAAACTGAAGATTTCTGTACATTCAGAGAGGTTTTCAACTGAAAGTCACTCTCTCTTTTTCAATGCATTGTACAGAGCTGTAACAAGTTATTGGGAGTCCTTTATGGTCTGCTATGTGGCTTCTTGCCACATGTGCTTTTAGTTTTCACTGTTAGTCTGGTTTTATCCATCTACACGTCTTTTTCTCTCTCTGTTTTTGTCTCCCTCTCTCCCCCTTTGTCTCCCCCTTCATATTCCTCCAAATATGATGTGTAGTGATTGTGATCTCTCACTGCAGATCAACATGGCAGCTCTCCAACAAGCCAATATCACAGCCCAGACCAGGGTGCTACCACTCCTGCACACTGAAAGAGGATCTGTCTGATTGCAGGAGGGAGGGAGGGGGAAGGTTAAAGGGGGAGAAAATGGAAAGACAAATCGAAAGCCATCAAGTGAGAGAGTGAATGTTGAGGGAGAATGAAGGAGATGAATAAATGGAGCAGAGGGAGGGAGAAAGTTAGAGGAAAGCTCAGTTTGGTGACTCTTTCAGACAGACTGGCATTTTCTACACTTAGTTAATCAGCAATTGGGGGACATGACTGATGAACACATTATGTCCTGACCACTTTTTACCCTCTGCCTTGTTCATCGCAGCTACATATTGGTACCTGGTCTGAGAGCTTGGCACAGGAGGAGAAAATTAGGAATAAAAGTTAGACAGTACAGAGCTAAAAGGCAGAGGGAGGGACCACGGTAGCCAGTAGCACTGAAGGTGTTATGTCCCTCTGCCAAGCAGCTGTAACATGTTTGTTTGGTACAGACATCCAATAAATTCATCATTCGTCATCGTGATTTTAATAGTTTTTTTCAGTGAAAATAAATTTGTGATGCAAACATGATCATTCCCACTAATTGTGAATCGTATCAGAATAATCACAATATTATTATTATATAAATTTATATATATATTATATTATCGTGCATGCATTTGGATTTGTCTGCATTTATCACCAGCATAACAGGGATTGTACTACTGAGGGCGAGCAATAGATAACTATAATAAAAATGGAATGCAGCATTTAGTAAATTATCAAAAATATAATTTACATGCATGGTGAATAGCAGTGGTACTAGTGTGAACCCTGGGGCACACCTTTTGTTTTTCCACCAAATTTGTTCTGGTTCCTAAAGGATGCATCATCAACAGAGAGCGCTGCACAGTGCACAACGGCCTGTCAAATCATGAGCACTGTGGTTCCCAAGGAAAACCTATTTTCTGGTTCAGCTAGGAACCAGCTTACAATATGCCCAGATAAGCCTACAGAGTCTGTCGAGGTCAACTGTGTCAAATACCTTTGACGAATCAATAAAAATAGATGTACAATATTTTTTGCAGTCCAACAGCTCAATAATGTAACTCACCGCCTTAATATCATTGGTTAATGTGTTGAAAATGTCCTATATTGGTCCCAGTGTACTATTAGGAAGCTATTCTGAACAGAATCAGATTCTAAATAACGATTGTTGGATTATTTGTGTCGTTTTGTGTAATTGGATAGCAGTGACATAGTTTTTAACATCACCTTTTACCTTTGTGGTTTGTGTTTGGTGCTTCAGCTGTAATTGGAGCTGAGTGTTTCCCAGATGTCATTTGTAGACTCTGTGTCTTACACTGGTCCTGGATCAGCCCTCAGATCATCTTACAGTAACAATCACAGAAGCACTTATATTCCCAGATATGGATCACACATCATGTCTTATTGGTTTAAACGTCTTTATAGTAGTTTTACTTTGTGTTTCTGATTGTTTTGTTTAAATGAGTTAATATGGTGAGGTTTCCACAGTGTTATCTGCTCTGCTGTAAACGTAACTATTAACCTTTAAAAAGCATTTATGAACTAAAACATCTTTAAAAGCACAAACATACTTAGATATTATATGTGCTAGGCTTGTCTATGTTGAGTATATAGAGATAGATAGAGATCTCATTGTTAGTCAGATTATTCATAATAGTGAGAGATTTGTTACGACAATACGACTGTGTGCTGTGTAATACTGCTATTCAATCAATCGTTGCATTTAAGATTCAAGATTAATTAATTAATCGCCTGGCATGTAAACATATTGGTCCTGTGCAGGGTATCTATGTACAGTGTATACACTCAGACACTCTTCAGTAAGTAAAGGCTTGTGTTTCACATTGAGTTGCAGTTCGCCACTACTGTTGGAGCAGCTGATAATTGCACAGATTTCTCAGACATTATTGTAAAAGAAGAAACACTTCTCAGGACAGCTTACAGTACAAGACTCTGAGATACATTCATTATTTTCCAACATTTTATAGATCAAACGATGAATCAAAAAAAAAAATGTGCAGATGAATCGATCATGGAAGTAATGTTGACTTCCCTCAGTGCTGTATATTAATGGCTCTGTGTGTTTTCCTGCTAACAGACACAGACTACATCAGTGAGGAGGAAAAACAGAAGGTGGAGCTGATGTTGGCGTTTCTCACGGATGAATCCAAACAGGCTGCAGCCAGCACAGCGGTAAGTACCACTGCATCCTGCTGCTGCTGTCACATTGTCACAGGTGTTGTGTGTCATGTGTTACGGCTCAGTCAGCAGTTTCTCATATTCTGAAATGTGTGTTCGTCTAACTGCAGCAGTAACAGGAGCCTGTTTTATGTTTGTCTTGACAGATTTGGGAAGTAGAAAATCTCATGTTGAGGCTTTGAGAGGAATCTAAGATTGAGAGTTAGTCAGTTTGCAGGCTCACGTAGATAAATCCCCAACCCATCTTTATCCTAAAGTAGTAAACACAGAGTTATTTAGAGAAAAGTTCAGGCTGACAGTCCTCAATGAGCACTAACTACAGAAATAGTGGAGTTTAGAAAAAAGGATTTTAAAGTTTTCAGGCTGACTGGCTGAACTGTGTAACAGATAGAAGAGAAGAAGCAATAGTCTATACAATCACAATGTAGGGTGGCATATTTATAAAAGATGAATGTTATACTGTTTTAAGAACATGGGGTGTTTCAGCTTTCAGAGTCAGCAAATCAATTACAGAAGAAAACTGAAAGACATGATGATTCTCTGGCAAGTTTATTTTTTCTTCTGGGTTGACATCAGAGATCCAGGTTCATGGGTATCATTGGTACTCACCATTTAAACAAATCCAGTTGTCCATGGACCATCAGATACACAAAAACCTGACCTATAAGAGGTCACAAAGAATAACTAGAAAATTCCTAAAGAAATTTTGAGTGTGCCTCACTCTGGCCCATATATTAATAACATGTCATA